CGCCGGGAGCTCTTCCCAATCCGCGGAAGGAGCAGGAGGATCCCCTGTGCATCCGCATCATCCTACGGGATTGAACGGCCTCTTCCCGGCGCGGCCACCGCATGATCCCTGTCCCTCTCCTGAGCGGAGCTCGACCTGCTTCCAGCGTTCGGGATTTCATTAAAGGCCAAAGGAAGCCCCTGTGCATCCGCATCATCCTACGGGATTGAACGGCCTCTTCCCGGCGCGGCCACCGCATGATCCCTGTCCCTCTCCTGAGCGGAGCTCGACCTGCTTCCAGCGTTCGGGATTTCATTAAAGGCCAAAGGAAGCGGCCGGCTCCGGTTGGTCCTTCCCACTCCGCGTTTTCCGTCTCTTGTCCCACCCGCAGCTCTTCCGCCCGAGGATGCAGCACGCCGGCACGGAAACTTTCCCACCTCTTTTTTCCTAAGCCGTATTAAGGTATAAATAGAGAAGAAGCTAGAAAAAAACGTAAGTAGAATTTAGCATCCCTCACTGCCTGGAGAAGAGGATCCTTCTCCGAACCCGGATCCGCGCTGCCGGGCAGCTGGAAGCTGCTTTTGCTGCGTTTTCCCTCAATCCGAGGTTCTCCCTCTGCGGTTTTCCAGCCCTTTACGATAGGATGGACCCGCAGCGCAAGTTGGAGCGTTTCTTTTATTTTTCCACTTAAATATTCTCTTTAAATACAGCATTATCACAATGAAAAGAACGGAAAAGGCCCCCCGGGGGGAAAAAAAAAAAATGCGGAGGGACCGGACAAGCTTTGGATTCACACTGGAAAAAAGAAACCAAAATGCCACCTGTTACAGCGCGGGGGTCATCAGGTTGACGGGGACCGGGCGTCGCGGCGGGGACAACGCGGCCACCCCGGTAGCACCAGAGAGGGGACGGCCCCTGGGGGTCCTTGCGCAGCAGAGGGGTCGGGAGGAGCTGGCGGCAGTGTCAAAAAAAGAGCAAAACCCCCCAAAAAGGCCGAGATGCGCTTGCATTGCACGAGGAGCAGCAGTTCTCATCGTAAAAATCGAGGAAATCCCGTTAGTTCTTTGCTTAGTGTGAAGGATCCGTCCGGGAGAGCTCGGGAGGATCCAGTCCGGCCACGCGGAGGCTCCCGGCCCGGCCGCTTCCGGAGCATCCCGAGGATGGGACACAAATTGAGGAAAGGGAGTTAATGAAAAACAACGGAAACCAAGAAACTCCAAAGGCTTCGACCTATCCCAGCGCCGCGATCCGGCCAAGCCACGGTTGGGAATTTAGCCCTTGGGTCCCGGCCGGGCCTTAAGGCAGGAGGAAAATCCCCCTTCCCGCCCAGCAAACGCCCCCGGCTCCGATGCCACCCGGAGCCTCCAAAAAAACCCAGACCAGGAACCCCCCCTTGCAGAACAATTAAAGCACTTAATGCAGGACACAGTTTTCCCCCCGGATTCCCTTTCCTTGCTCTCCGTGGCCGGGCTCGGTGTGGTGGGATGTCCTCCCTTGGGAGCAGGGCTCCTCCTAGCAGCTCCGCGAGCCCCGGCTGAATTCCCAATGGGAAGGAGGGCGGAAGCCGGGATGGAGTTCCCGATGGGAAGGAGGGAGGCGGCTGGGATGGAGCCTGCCGGCAACCGGGAAGGGCTCCGTGTTGCTCGGAGCCTCCCGCTCTCCTGCTCCGGCTTCCAACCGTTCGCGGGCGGAAAGCGGCAGGCCGGGACCTGCGGCCGGGCCACGGAGGAAGCGCTGGGAGATCCCACGGGGCCGAGTCCGTGTCCGTTGGTCCTGGAGCTGGAACGGGACCGGGACGGCGGCATCGTTAGGAGCAGCGACGCGGTGACGGCAAAGCAAGGAAAAGCTCCCGGGAAGCCTTTGCTCTGTGCAATGGAAGGGAGGGCGCCGACGCGTGCGGGGACGGCCGGCGCCGCCGTTCCCAGCCCATCCGGGCCTGGAGGGGG